CCTTTCTCCGCATGATCATTTTCTCTTTATATATATATATATATATATATATTTGCGTAATTACTTCCAATAATTTTATCACTTTCGCTTTATCAATATCATTTTTTGGTTCCTGCACCACTCAACTGTCATCGCGTTTGAAGTAACGCTGCTTTCAAAAGAACTATTTTTTTAATTGAGCACACTTCTTGAAATTTTACGATTATTGGCAATATATCATATCAAAATAAGGTCACTGAATCTGGTAAAAAAAATTGTTTAACTAAAAAGAAAGTTGTTAAAAAAATTTACAAGTTTCAAAAAAAGGATTTTTTCCTGTGAGAATTCTTGCATCCAGGTATACAAATCATACAGGAAAATGGGTCTAATTTTTGAACTACCCTACCGATTTTCATAAGGAGATCAATTTAGCAATCTAAAAATGAAACGCTTTCATCTGTTACTCCATTCAGGTATATTCACTTACTTTGGGTTGCTCACCCTCGTGTTATTGTGAATTTTTGCAGAAATAATGGCGGAAATTGGTTATAGTCATTTTTATCAACTGTCCAAATGTTTTAAAAAAACATGACGGTTTCAACTGAGGTACGATATTTGTATTTATTACGAGCTTGTAGCACCCCGTACAGTATCCAATAAGTCATTCTTTTGAATAAGTAATACGCGTATTCGACATGGCTTTATGAAGAAATGTCTAAATATGGAACTTTTCCGTACCTTCGACAGCGTTTATGTCTGCTTTATCGCCTATTTTTTATATTGGTGAAAGTAGCATCCATTATTACATTGTTGCTACGGCTCTGGAGCTACTGAGCAGCTACATACCGAAAAAACGTAACAAGGGAGTGATCAAGCTTCAGGGAATTTATCACATTGAAGCAATTTCTTCAGTACATAATGAATTGTGTGACTGTAATTGCCTAGTTTAAGAACAACCTACGAAATCTGAATTCTCACTTATCTATCACAAAGTTTTTTATTATATGGTCTCAAAAACTCCGTTTCAAATGATTGTTGAAAACCATTCCAAATGAAACATCTTAACGGGGCTCCTACAATCAGGAGCACCATCTGCTGAGGTAACGGGGGGTGAAAAGGAAACGATGGTGGGCTGGTCTAAGACGGCCTTCGGCGCTACTTTAAAAGAGGAAAGGATGGCTGCGGGTGCGTACCGAGGTGAATTTTTATAATAGCAGAGTCGGATTTCGATTAGCGATCGAGCCTGTAAATCGTTTCATATTTTGGTACTCGGCAAGTAATCATATAGTATTGTTCTACCCTTGTTACTGTTTGTCGATATTGTGTTGTTGAATTGTTGTGCTGTAGATACTCTGGTGGTGTGATTGTTCTTGAGTGATTTTTTTATCAAGGTTGATAATGGACAATAAAAGGTCATATGCGACAATTTTAATTATGAATGCAGTGAGTTTAATTCATGATGAGGACAACAATAGTGTGGACCAGTTCAACTCTATAATCGCAAAATACATTGGGGTAAGCGAATAAATTATTGCAAAAAGAGGTCATACCATGGAAGATGTGCTGCAGCTGTAGTGAGCCACAATACCGAGCGACCTGTCTATGTGGTCCAAATATATTTGCGTTCTAAGCTTAGTCCAACCTCGCTTATCACTAAGATGGAACAAAGACTTAAACGCAAGAATCTTGAAAAGAAACTCAGATCAAAAAAAGCTGATATAAAAATAACTAACAATTCGGATAGCAATTCCAAAGAAAATGAATAGTTTTATGGCGAATTCAGTCAAAAACCTGACATTAACAACATTGATTTGGAGGTTGCTAAGTGAACATTTTTAGGAAAACTTAAAAAAAGTGACGACGAGAATTTGCAGATCGAACAAGTCACCAAATCACAGGACTGTACTTTGTGGCGTCTTCAACGGAGGATAAGGTTGACAGCGTCTCGATTTGGCGAAGTTTGTATAAGAAGGCAGACAACAAGCTGTAAAGTTCTAGTAAACTCCATCATATACCCAACAGAGTTTTCTAGTAAGGCAATAAAAAAAGGCAATACTAAAGTCATTGGACACGGCAGTTCAATCTTGTGGTTTGTTTACTGATCGCACACATCCATTTCTGGCAGCATCACCTCCATCTACCTATTAAAGTAGACAAGACATGTACTTAATCCAGGTATAAGCCTACCTGTTTATTGCTTTGCAAAAACTACCTAACTGGTTCCTCTTATTTTGACTGCATAAGATATTTTTATGACCCTTGTTCAATTGTTACCATCTACCACATGACCCTTGTAAACATAATTCTCTTTATTGACATGAATAAACGAATTTGAATTTGAGTTCTTAAATTTATTTTAGGAAATATATAAAATTATTTGAATACATTTTTTCTTAGTCGGAACGCACCGTCACGACTCTTGGACTGGCAGGACGAAACTGTACATGAATTTCGCCCAAAAACCGATTTGCACTTCACAGCTTACGTTTCATTTTTATTATTTCCAAATGAAGCTCTTGCAGCGTGCTAAACACAAAGTCCACAGGGTGCCAGCGATCCACTTTTTCTATTTTATCCACTAGGATCTTTTTAAAATATCAAGAAGTTGAGCACAAATAGTAAGCATTTCAACCCACCATAATTCTTGCGCAAATACAAAATTTTGTAAAAAGCTCTGATAGCACCCTAGGCAATTATGTCCTGCTTATATCCAGAAAAACATCACAAACTGCAGAACACAAATTGAAGGTAACGGCGAAATGGGTACATTTCACGGGTCATGAAATTCAAATGAAAATGTATTCGTCGGAATTTCGTTACTTAAATTTCCTGTAATTACTGGGATCAGAAGCTTCTTAATAATAGAACGTGTTTCACTGATTTCAACCCCCCCTTTTTAAGCAGTACAATTTTTTTATGTCAATGATTAGGAAGCCCTGAAACGTCAAAAACGGAGTTTCAGCAATTGTTACGTTTTCTGTTTTGCCTATAGCACCGGTGCCACTGGACTAAAACTACAACGCTTTGGCATACTAGTAACCGCGTGTGGCAATTTCATAAAAAACCGAGCGGTGATTTCCAAGTTGATGACGAGTGATACAGTTTTTCGTGATGTAGATGTCATATGACTTAAATATAACATCTCATTTTAGAAATTTTTCGCGATAACAATACTTCCTCGCCAATGACGTGGGAAGTAAAACGGCTTTAAAATCGAGGAGTATCAGCGATCGCGATTATGAGTACCTATTTGCAGAACGACTTACGCGATATTACGTTATATGAAATAGGGCCACCAAATTATCTGAATACGTCCTTTCTTAGTCCAAAATACGATTTGTAGAGGTTTGCGCGCTTCAAAATTTACGCTTTATTTTTTGATATTTTTGGATGAAATTTTCACAGAGTGCTGAAAACAAAACCCCACAGGGTGCTATAGAGCCACTTTTTCATTTTTTTCACTAGTTCTTTTTAAAAAAATCGCGAAGTTGAACAGAAAAAGTGCGCACTTCAACCCATCATAAAACTTGTGCAAAAACAAAATTTCAAAAAGCGCTCCTATAGCTCCCTGGGCAATTATCTTCTCAACATACTGTATGAATTTCATTCAAAAATATTGAAAAATGGAGTGCCAGTTTTGAAGCAGCTGAACCCTTGTAAATGGCTTGAAACTCACTGCGTCGGAGCCGCCTTAAAAACCACCTACTCGCACAAATGCTGCCCATTCCCATATCAACAATTTTCGACAAATACAAATATGTGCATTACGATTTGACGGATATCTTCCTAGCTTTTTCTGCCACTGAATGTGTACACGGTGGTCTTGCAAATAAATTATAATACCCGTTTTACAGTCAGCAAGAGCAAGAGAAATGATCAGACGCATTCGCACTAACACAACAGCTGATTCTTCCTGTCATATTCTCGCAACTACAGGGGTCTTGCATGAAAATCGGAAGACAAATCAGTGAAGCCGATTTTGACCAAAGTAGTTCATCCAATCAATCAGCCAAAATTGATTTGTTATACCTATTATTCCAGTAATTGTGTTGGATTTTTTTTTCTAGATTTTTCGTCCGCTCATTCCAGGGGATACATACACAGTATTTTGGCCGTGTAGTAGTAATAAAATTATTATGATCGTTGAGAAAATATACTCTCAAGGTCCAACTGGAGACTTTGAGGCCGCGTGCCAAGTTCCGCTGCTGTCTCAAAATAAACTTGCATACTTCTGGGCTTTGCACTATTCGAACAGGAGTCGCTATATGTCACAGAAGATTAGTGACATCGGAAAAACATGAAAGTGTGGATGTCGCTCAGGATATTTATTTATGAAATAGAACAGATACAGAGGCGTTTTCGTTTTTATCTGTATAAAGATCACTAGCTTGGCACCGAACGCATAGGTGATGTAGTACTTACTTAGGCCCGGTTTTTCAATCGCAAGTTAACTTTTTAGTTAGTTAACTATCGCCAGGAAGTTAACTTGTGGTTACTTGCAAATGCGTTTTTCAAGTATTTTGACAGCGTCAGTTAACTTACCAGAAGTTCAACATATATTTATTTTACAGCCCTGTATCTGCGGTTCTTAGATATCGTGTTCTATGCGTTTTGTGCGCTCGGCATCTATGTCCCGTGTCATACATGACAGTTCGATTGAATTAAAATTTCTTAAAACAGCCAAAATCGAAATTCGGAAATAAGCAAGGTAAGTTTTTTCAAACATTGCTCGTACAAATGTTTAGTAGTAGACCGTATAGACGGCATTATAGAAATGGTGATAAAAAAGGTTGCAAATGCAATGTCTAATGAACCATACTAAGGTCAAAAAACGATTAAGTTGTAAATATCTGCTGAATATCGTATTTTCCACCTTTTTTAACATCACTCCTATAACCTACAATCCAAAAATAAAGGGGATACACAATACTTCTATTCTTGTTGCTAAAATTTCTCAAAAACTGTTTTCTAGAGCATGGAGAAAGAGATCAAAAAGAGAGCTCACAATTTCTCGAAGAATGAGGAAGTGATGCTGATATCATTTGTGAGCAAAAATAAAAATGTAATAGAGAGCAAGTGGCACAGTTACGTCGAAACAGAAAAGTTCAGTATGGCAGAACATCGAACAAGAATTCCAAGCCCTAACAGGGTGCCACCGAGAGGCAAAAACTCTACGAGATAAGTATTTCAATTTAAAGAAAAAAACAAAAAGCAAATTTGCTACAAAGAAAAGCAATATAACCAAGACAGGGGGAGGTTCATGCCAATTACAAGCATTCGATCTGATTGATACACAATTACAAGAAATAATGGGACCACAATTAGAAAGTTTGACAAACAATTATGATGATGACTGTCGTGACCAAGAAGAGATGGTTACTGAACATGGTAAGTCTCACTGCTGTTTATTGAAGCATTTTTTAATTATTCATTTTTTAGTTCATGATGCAAATAACTGTGATGGCAGTGAAGTGGTCTTCAATAATGGGAAATGGAGCTCCTATACTCCCCAACAACTGAATGGAAGAAAAGTTGAAATTTTTGAAACTACAAAAAGAAAATTTTTTCGAAGAACACAATAAAAAAATGGAAATAGATCAAAAAAAAAAAAAGGTTCAACTGTTAGATTTACAGATCAATGCTTTGGATAAGTAGCAAAGGATTTATTTTGTTAATTTCTGGAATATTTTCACTTTCACTCATTTTCTGTTGCATTTCGCATTTTTGAGGATAATATGTTAGTTTAATAATAAACTGTTTTCAGAAAATCATGTTTATTTTCATTCTGTAGTTACAATAAATAGGGGATAATTCATATGTCAAGTAGATGAGAGCTATGGCGAAAACCTTAGGTGTCCAAAAAGATCGACTCAGTGCCCATTTTGAGGCTTGGGACATCTATTTTCAAATGCCGTGTGCGCCTTTTTGGGGCAACAACAATTTTGGCCACGACTCTTATCCACTTGCCATGGATTATCACAGATCTTATTAGAGATTCATCAAGACAAGTAGCTTGAATTTTTTCTTAAAGACTTGACTTGAAAACTCAAGCTTTTAAAAATTTGATATTTGACTTGATTTGATTTTCGGACTGAACTACTTGACTTAATATCAAGTAAAATCAAACTACTTGATATTACTTGATAGTAGATCTGTGAAATGCGCATCGAAGCGTTAAAATAGGGGATTCACCGAGGTTAAATAGGGGATTCACACAGCAAGCAGGCACTCGATGACGACGGACGTGCTCGTGCGATTAGTAGAGCAGCCTTGTTCAAAGATAAAGGGCGACCGCAAAAGAATTATTAGGTCTGATTTAAGAAGTGATTTGTCAGAAATGGAGTCGGAACCTTTTCAAAGCAGCGGCTCAGAATATATCGTAAATGAAAAAGTGTCAGAATCTGATGACACCGAACCAGAAGAAGAAAGTGCAGGGTCGGTGCCACCAAAGGGAAAGCGAGTTAAAGCTAATAAAACGAATAAAATTAAGGATTATTTCATAATCGACCAGGATCCTAAGAGTAAGAAAACTACTGACAAACAAGGCAAATGTACCCTATGTGTCGTAAAAAATACAGTTTTAAAAATGAAAAACTGTGGAACATCTTCACTAAGGAGGCATTTGCAAGCTAGAGTCTACGAAAACATTTTTGGTAGATCCAGCCCACCTAAATCCGAAGCAGAAGCCTCTGCCAGTTCGAATAGGCGTAGCACAATTACAAATTGGCTTGAGAAGGTACAAAATTAATAATAATTAGATTTGAGCTGAAACTAAATAGTAAATAATTGTACAGGGTGAGCATTTTATTAGGGGCGTAAGCATACCTCTTCCTCAGAAACTACAGGGTGTAGAAAAAAATAATTATATAAAAGATTCTTGGCATTAAAAAAAAATTAAATTACCTATTAGAATTTTATTTATACAGGGTGTCCGAAAAGTGCTGCACCAGAATCCTTCATTTGTTTTTTCCAACTTCATCCATTTTTGAAAAATCTTTAAAAAACACATAAAGGAATCATGCTAGAAAAAAACAAATGCCTAATTTGGATTGCTTGATCACGAAAACCCCTTGAAAAGTTATTTTTTCCAAAATCCGGATCAGCTCATTTTAAGCCACACTTGTAGTTTTATAATGTTTATTATAATCATTATAGGTTCCTTGATTTTAAAAGTCATTCTATATTAAAAAGATTTAATAAATTATTAATAAATATCGAGGTAGGCGAAATATCAAAATATTAAATAAAAGGCGGCTCTTGAACGGAAAAAATTACAACTTTCGGATAACAATTCTAAAAGTTTTTTAAATATAAGAAGTACTGTCGACTTCTAATTTAGAACCGCTTTTTTATTATATAACATAATTTTTGTTTGTTGTTATAATTGTGTAATGATGTCTCATTTAAAATTCTGATTTTGAAGTCGGTGCAGCAGTTTTTGGGCACCCTGCATCAATAAAACTCATCAGAGCATATTTACAAAAATCTATATTGACTTTAAGACATTCTATTCAAAATTGTGGGACATGCTATAAATGTTTATACAGGGCATTTCAAACAAATTACTTACTTTTTCATTTAAAAGTGGGATATTATGACGTAAACATTCATGCACCTTGCGCTGCATTTTACTAACTCCAGTTTTGTTTATTTTGCAGACCACTAGTTGTTCAGAAAACTTTCAACAAGACAAATTTCAAAAACTACTTGTGGAATATATAGCACAGAAGTATCTCCCTTTCGACTTTTTTGAAGATGCTATAAGTGGAAAAATGTACAAATTCCTAAATCCAAAGGCAACTCTACCTGGTCGGAATCAAATGAAATCTTTGACATTAAAAACATTTGCAGCAGCGCAGCAAACAATTAAGTCATTTTTGAAAACATGTAATTCAAAAATCTCGTTCACAATCGATGGATGGTCCTCTTTTAATATGAAGGGGTACTATGGTATTACCGCCCATTTTATCGATAAAAATTGGAAACTTCATTGTATTCTTCTAGATTTTGTGCCAGCACATGGGCAACATACTGGTAATGCAACTGCAAAGCTATTTTTCGAAGTATTACAATTCTACGATGTTACAAAATGCATACAAGGTATTACTACCGACAATACAAATAGTAATTTTACGTTCATCAGAGAACTTCAAACGCATATTTCTGAAATCGATACAAAAAATATCCACTTTGTATGTTTTGCACACATCTTAAACTTGGCAGCTAGAGATTTTATGAAAATCCTTGATTCTGAGGTTGAAGAAACCGCCAACATTTTGACAGATATATCAGATGATGATGATGATGACTGCCAAGTTCCGCCCTCTTCTGTAAGAAAAATCCATTCCCTTGCTAAAAAATTAAAAAACTCTGAACATTTACGTGAAGATTTTGAAAAATTTTGCACCACTTTAAACCTGAAATTTACTATGCCAAAACTTGATGTCATAACAAGGTGGAACTCCACGTTAGACATGTTGGGATGGAGTCTAAATATCAGAAACGCACTTAACATCGTTTGTGATAATGTAGAAAATTTAAAAACTTTAAAGCCAACCGACACAGAATGGTCGTTAATTGAACGAATTTGCCAGTACCTTAATGTTTTTAAGAGTATTTCCATAATTTTAGAAGGTGAATCATATTACTTTACCCATGGTAATAATCGGCATTAATATGTTGCTGGATAGACTAGAATCGTGGGCTATGGTACTTGACAATAAACCTGATCGAGATGAAATCGATGAAAAGATTATAAATAGCATTCAAGCGGCAAGGGACAAAATCATTAGACATTACGAACGGACTAACTGGATGTACTGTGTTGTCCTGATTTTAGACCCCCGACATAAAGTGGATACATTCTCCAATACAAGTTGGGGAAAAGAGTTGCAGATAGAAGCAATTAAACATTTTGAAGATATTTTTAAAGCACAATATTTTAGGGCTGACTCTCTGCAAATTTCTGAACCATCACTTCAAGTAGCAGCATCTTCAAACCCTAGTAAAGATAGTAGTGTCGAAAAGTTTGAAATAGATCTACTAAGTTTGTTTAATAGAAAACCTGCCCATAATGCAGACGACGATATGGCCTGGCGTTACGAAATCGACAAATATATTTCTGACCCAAGAGCTGACAGTACTGAAGATATTTTAGAATGGTGGAAGAGACACGAATGCATTTTTCCAAACCTTGCCGCAATGGCAAAGACTTTTTGGCAACGCCAGCTTCTTCAGCTCCAGTTGAAAGGCAGTTTTCTAGAGCTGCCTTAACTCTTACCAAAACAAGAAATCGATTAGGCGATAACTCCGTTAGAAGCCTTTTGTGTCTCAAATCATGGATGGCAAATGAGGATATTAAAGATTTATTTTAGATATTCATTTTCATGTTTGTTGATTTTCTATTGTTTTATTGTCAGAATTCAGAATATTTCGCATTTTTATTTCATATTATTTCATGTATTATTAAACTGAGTTTGTTAGAGTTTTCGTTTTTAGATGTTTTTTAAATAAAAGATTAAATCTATATATACATAGATTTTTATTGTTATTCCGTTTTGGCAGTTGAACAGATTAATATCAAAAAAGTACATTTTTCAAGAAAAATCAAGTAGTTAACTTGAAAACTTGATTTTCAAGTTACTTGATGTGTAACTACTTGACTTGACTTGAATTTCAAAAACAAATACTTGACTTGATCTTGACTTGATATCAAGTCAAGTCAAGTCAAGTAGCTTGAAAATCAAGTCAAGTCGTGAATCTCTAGATCTTATACTAAATAACTTTCATCTAGTATCGAGTCATTCATTCACTGATGCTCAGTATTGAGTCGATTTACAAATTTGCAAAATAATTATTAATAAGGTAAGTTCTAACATTGTTGATTGCATTTTGTGGCAACCTAATATTTACAGGATCTGTCGTCACAGTATCTACATGAACCATGTTAATAGCATTTTCCTGTTCAGGACTAATAGAGGACATGGCTTCATTATTAGGACAAACAATATTATGTAGCACTGCTGTTCCTAGAGTAACTGCTTGAGCTGTATCTAGATGAACTCTGAGACCCATAGCTAGTCATGGATATCTTCTTTTCCAAACTCCACAGCTTCTCTCTATAATATTGCGACTACGAATGATAGATTCATTGTATAATTCTTCAGCAGGAGTTGTAGTTGTATTTAATGGTGTCATCAAATGGCGTTTAATAGGATAACCTTTGACCTGATTCAAATTGTCTGCAGAGCTGAGAATTTCCGAGAATGTATGAATCTGCGTCAGAAACAGTTCGGTGAAAAAAACTGCTTTCGATTTCTGAAGAGCTCTGCATGGCTTCCTCCGGGAGAAACAATTTTTATATGCGTGCAGTCAATTGCACTTATGCATCGAGGAAACCTAGCTATGTTATTTGTAAAAGGATTGCTTTGCCCTGGCAAGAGCCTGAAGTGTCCGGCATTTTTATGTAATTACTTCTTTTACTCGTTAGTACTTTTAAGAATCTTCGGACTGTTTTGGATGCAGTTGATTTGGAAACCCCAGCCAAATGTCCAGCAACAGTTAAAAAACTTCCATGGCCAACAGCTGATTTTGGGGCGTTAAGCAGTTATTCCTGGAATGACAAAGACATGTAAAAATATGAAAATAAACAATAATATATACATCTACCTGCTTGTAGGTTATACTAAATCTTCATAGACTTCGTCCAGGAGAGTTTCTACAGTCCTTTTTGTAAGACGAAATCGTCCAAGGAAATCGAGGTCATCAAATTCATCAAAGTAATTCGACCGATGGCGGATTATTTTTGGCCTTCTCGCGTCTTCGTCACTGCTATATACGCATTCACGTCGTAATCCATAATCATGTTTATTCGATAGATTGATATGGATTTGTTGTGATTTTTTGAATAAACGTCAAAGTTTATGTCAAAAAACGTCAGGTGTTGCTATTTAACTACAGCCTTTCTAGTTAACTTATAGATGGTCTTCTGGTTAAAGTTAACTTCCGTTTTACTATAGTCATGGTATGAAATACGCTTTTTCATAAATAACTATAAGTTAAGACCAAGGTCGTAGTTAACCTGCGATTGAAAAACCGGGCCTGCTAGAAAGTGTGTCCATGCAAAGTGAAGATGTTGTTGTAAGACGTGTACATCATGGAAGACCGTGTCACTCGTTTGCAGCACCCTTGATCTTTTTCAGACTTCTGAACTACTTTCGAATAGTTCTACAGTTCTCAGTTTTGAAGTTTTTTTGCGGAATTTAAAAAAAGTTTTCACGCCGCACCCCTTTCACGTAAAACGTGAATTCTGAGCTGTGGATTATCAAGGTAGTGAATAGTTCTACAGTTCTCAATAGTTTTTAAAAAGAATTCTGGAAAATTTACGAAATTAAAAAAATCAGAATCAACGATCCACGAGACAATTCACTAGCATGTCATTCACACTTATCGCCAGAAAATTCGACAAGTACACTGCGCTCCAGCACAGTAAGCCTCACATATTCATGCAACCAATCATGAGAAATGCTAGTGAATTGCCTTGTAGATCGTTGATGCTGATTTCTTTTTTTTATGTTGGTAATTGTGCAGAACTCTTGCTAAAAACTATTGAGAACTGTAGGATTATTCACTTTTTACGTAAAGGGGTGCGGCGTGAAGTTAGCACCCCCAAAACTTTTTTTTTTTCGGCAAAAAACTGCAAAACTACTGGCGCACCCCCTGAGAACTATAGAACTATTCGAAAGTAGTTCAGAACTCTGAAAATAATCAAGGGTGCTGCAAAGAGGGGTGCCAACTTCCCACCAACGTCTGTCGCTCTGTCTATAGGTCTGTCTTTGACAGCCCACAAATTTGCCATTTTGAAAGTTAGTAAATTTGTATTCTATAGTCATAAAACACAAATAAAAAGTTCTAAATTAAAATATCGTGCAATCCCCATATTATTTTAAAATGTTTGAAGATGGTGCCTAATTTTTCTACGTTATACTCTAACGGACAGTCTGGGGACCCGATGTCGGCGATTTAGTTCCCTTCTACCGTTATGGCAATGGGCTTTGCTCCTCAGAGCTTTCCTCCATGATGCCGCCGCGCGATGTGCCAACCAGACAGACCCTCCTGACTTCGGCCACCCACCCTAACCGGCTTTGTGGACTAATCCACATGTAGAAGCTTTTACCAGTTCTACTAACCTTAGGACGTGACATGAATATAACCACATACCCATAAATGTTATAAAATTAGTTAGAGAGAATATTAACATTTTTTTACACCGAATCAGCCGCGCAGGCCGAATCCTAAATGGCAGGACATCCAAAGAAAATTTGTTAATTCTATTTTTAGCATGTTAACATAATAACACTTATAATAAGTATATACATATATATATATATTTAAGGGTGTGAATCTACATGAAAATTTAATGTTAGTTTGCTTTATAAACTATGGTCCAAGAATGTTTCCTTACAAAAACTCGGGGTGTTTTATAAAAAAAATGGAAATTAATTAATATGTATTTTCAGAACCGCTTCCGATATTTCACTGATATTTAGTACGTAGTGAAAGTTAATAAAGTTGCATAGTTTCCAATGCAAAAATAATTTTTAGCTTTAACACTGGCGTGCGTACGGGTATTGACTTCCATATTTTTCAAGAAAAAAATTGGTACGCCAATGTTTTTTTGCCAAGTAAAAATTATTTTTGAATTCTCCGTTCAATTTAAAACAAATGATCTCTCTTGAACTGTTTTCCTTCGATGCGTCATTTTTGAGTAAAAAAATAAAAACCGTTCTATTGTCCGAGAAAATTAATGTAATAATTGAAGAATGCAATTTAGCAATTCAAGAGAGATCATTTGTTTTAAATTGATCGGGGAATTCAAAAATAATTTTTATTTGGCAAAAAACCATTGGCGTACCATTTTTTTCTTAAAAAATACCAAAGTCAATACCCGTACGTACGCCACTGTTAAAGCTAAAAATTATTTTTGCATTGAAAATATACAACTTTATTAACTTTCCCTACGTACTAAACATCAATGAAATATCTGAAGCGGTTCTGAAAATATTAATTAATTTACATTTTTTCCCTAAAACTTCAACACCCCGAGTTTTTGTAAGGAAACATTTTTGGACCATAGTTGATAAAGCAAACTAACATTAATTTTTCATGTAGATTCACACCCTTAAATATTCGCGTATCATTAAGGAACACCCTGTATAATTTAAGCGCATATTACTGTATACAATTTTGAAAAATAAATATAAATTGTTGCTAAAATAAAAAAAATGTGGGCTTGTAGACTGTAGCTTATTCAATTCCTGACACCAGCAATTGCTTTTTTCTTTTTTTACAAATTTTGCAGTCCGTAAGTGATAACGTTGCTAATATTCAAATATAGTCAAATGTCATTTATGCGGCTTCAAAATATAAGCGTCCGTTCGGTCTCGTACCTCTCCAGCTCCTATTGACAGCTCCTGGCCAACAGCAACGCAAGAATTTGATGATTTAGATACCGTATTTGATTTAACGCGGCGTAAATAACATTTGAATAGGCTTTAACGATGCCAAATTGCCCTGACACGAGATAACCCTGAAAATAATATTGTTTAAACACCATCCCCCAACACTTGAGTTGAGGCCTGAAGAGCGGAATCGTTAAGCCTTGACAAAAATGACCTTAACAACATTTGTATATTTCAAACGCCCAACTTTCCGTAATAAGCACAAAGTTTTTTGTACTCAGCTTTGCGCATTTACGTATGGCTCGAAGAGAATTAGGGCCTTCGCACACGCATCGTAAGCGTAGTCGTTTCGTAAGCGTATCGTTACGAGGCGACGCTTACGAGACCTGAAGTGTTCCACACACGCATCGTCACGTACTCGTATCGTTTTGTAAGATCTCAGTTGAAATCATGGCATCAACGGTACCAGATTTTTCTGGTGTATCCATTGAGGATCTTACATTTTTTTCAGACGAAGAGAATTTTTTATTGTTTGATTATGTTAGAAGTAGACAGCGACGTGCTCATTAGATGCATCCATACATCGCAAGTAATAAGAAAAAAAGATTGTTTGTTGCTGCACGTGGACTCTCAGAAGATAATAATAAATTCCGAAGCGTTTATCGGATGAGGAAGGAGACATTTCAGCCATATCGAGAGCAATTAAACAAAACTTTTGAATTTTACGTTTGATTCTACCCCTGCCTTACGCCAGACCGCTACGACTAAAGTATTACGACTGAACATCTCATACGCTTCGCTGCAACACCGCTTCGTGTGCGGACTTGTTAGCACACATACGAGCTCGTTTTGCTCTGGTCCTACGCCCGTATTACGATACGATTACGATACGACGTAGTGTGGGAAGGCTCTTAATAAGCGAATGTATATTGAGTGAAAAAAAAGGTAAACATCTACAGTAATGGGCCAAAGTATATAGACAAATATGAATATTTACCTAAAACCTTTAGCAAACGAATTCATACTTGATTGCTCCATAAACAAATGCGTTATTAGTAGAAAAACTAAATTCCTTGTTTTTACATTATCTCTAATGAACACAATAAAGGTCTGAATATAAGCACTTTTTTATGAGGGACATAAATATGTAGACAAATTATTTTCAACATTAGTACAGTTTCGTATCAGAAGAGGATTAGTTTGTGTTCATCTAGTATTGTGGAATAAGTTGAGCGATTTCAAGAGCATGCCACGTGGTCCAGAAATTTATTTCAATGTGAAAACTAAGATCATTGCGTTATACCAAGATGGTCAACGTCGACATTGCCAAAAATTTTAAGCTGAAGCGTAAAGCAGTTTGGGCAATATTGAACAAATATAAACAATAAGAGAAGTGGTCGGCCTAGAAAACTATATGCCAGATCAGTTAGATTAATAATTGAGAGATTAAACGAACTTACCTAAGTGAAGTTTAATCCTAATTATATGAGCCTCGCCGAAATAAATAAGTATACGTGTAGTAGCTCTGCTTGCAGTCAAATCTCACACAGTTCAAAGCAAATTTTCTCACCCTGGATACAGTCCTGTCCCTTCGCCACTCCGTCGAACCCTCATACCTGTTCAAAGCATTGTTGCAACATATTGGGGGGGGTAGAGTAAAGGGCGGGAGCTTATTTATTTCGGCGAGGCTCATATAATTAGGATTAAACTTCACTTAGGTAAGTTCGTTTAATCTCTCAATTATATTGCGCCTCGCCTTCATAAATAAGTATACGTGTAGTAGTTCAAAGTAAGTTGCAACAATTTGTTTAGTATCATCAAGTTACATATGCGTAATTATATACATGTAAGAAACGGGGTAGATTTGATTTGGCTTTTACCCCAAAAAAATAAACGTCTATCCCCAATCAATACTTTATTCCGAGTACCACCATTTACTTCGTATTTAGGCACATTTTGTTTGGCTCTAGGTACGTGACTGTCGTCATCTTCGCTACTACCTGCGAGGGATCGCAGGTAGTAGTCGTCCCCGGTGCTTCTCTTTCCGTCGCAGAAGATAACGATATCATTTCACCCTTTTGAGAGGGAATTATGGGTGGCGCCGCTTACATACATATTAGTCACTGCAAACTTAACAGTGATTTCCACTATTTCTCTATAGTGAACAAGAACAACTATTTCTAATTTCTTTAACATTAGGCAAAACTGAACACTGCTTCCGCAAAGTCAGACCTACTAGAAACTAATGGTTTTTGATAAAATCTTGCGAATGTTTTAGATTTTTCCGTACACCCCGCGGCCAACCGGATGCTATCATAGCTTATCTCTTTCCTGGAGGCGGTAGAAGTAGCTGAATGTCTAGTGCTCTGAGCACAAAAAGAACTTATGTCTGTACCACTCTTTAATAACATAGTTTTTAACCATCTGCTGATAGTTTGAGTAGAGGCTATTCGATGCGGCCTTCTAAAACATAGAAACAAACTCAGTTCGTTACCTCGAATAGCCTTTGTTTTTTCCAGATATAACAGTAACGTTTTGGCTGGGCAAATATTCACATTATCCGGAAAAAATGGCAAAACTAATGTGGGCTGCATTTTGTTAACGCCAGATGTCTTTATCCTTTTAGATATGCGGATTTCTAACCGAGCTGAGAAATTTTGAATATTACACACTTCCATACTGGCTAATGTTTGGACGCGTTGGCCTGTTGCTAAGACGAGGAGCATGGCCGTCTTGAGAGTTAACTGTTCTAAAGTAGGATTCGTAGAATATGAATTTTTTATATGGTTCAAAACTATGCATGGATCCCAGGTGTTGTTATACTTAGGGAGCGGGGGCCTTAAGCGACTCAGTCCTTTGAAAAATCTTATAATTCTGAAATCTTCACTAAGATTTGGCCCTAGAATCTGTGAAAGCGTTCCTCTATATGAATTCAGAGAGCTAAAAGAAGACCCCTTATTGAAATGAAATGTTAGAAATTTAAGTACTGCAGAAAACCGACTGGGTGTAAATATTTTTTCTCCATTGCAATATTCCCACCAAAGCCTCAAGCCCACGTTGTACTGCTTAATTGTGTTATCCGTTATGCAAGACATATATTTAGCGATTCCGAGGGAACGTCCCCCAACATCAACGCCCGCCTGATACAATTCCTGCCACCAGGGTAGTCTTTCTCCAAAGGGGGTGTGGTGACCTGTTGAAAGACATTAACATCTTGGATGGACGAAATTTTATTGCATTACATTCTAAAAGGGATGTAAACACAGGATAGCAGGGTTGAGATGTCCATAGGGGGACGACAAGAATGCCCCTTGCTCCATCGAGAATGATTTTATTCAATACCCGCAAAATTAGTGAAAATGGCGGAAATGCATAAAAATAGAGCTTTCCCCAAATCAACGTGAAAGCATCAATTGCCATTCTCTCGGGGTCTCTCAACCATGAAACAAAGTTTTTGCATTTTTCATTAATTTTATTCGCAAACAGGTCAATTTCAGGCTTGCCAAACTGTGCAACTATGTTTTCGAATGCAGATACGTCCAGGGACCACTCCGTCTCGGTTTCCAAACTACGACATTCCCAAATCTGCTTCCTTATTATCGGCTGATTTTATGTATGCCGCATAAAGGAATAAGTTTCTTGTTTCACACCATTGCCAAATGGTGCGCGCCAGACTATTAAGTTTTGAAAATCGCACACTACCCATTTTATTAATGTAGGCCAAGGCTGTGGTGTTATCCACCCGACACAGGATGTTACAATTAGATAGGTTAGCTGCAAAACATTTTAGCCCAAAGAAAACTGCCAACAGTTCTCGATAGTTTATGTGATGTAGTTTTTCAATGTCCGACCAGAACCCGTGCGACTTTTTCCCAAAGCAGCTAATACCCCAGCCAGAGTCTGGTGCATCGGAAAAAATTTCTATAACAAACGAATCAACTTGAATGAAGTTTTTTGCCTGAGGCAAATTATTAAACCACCAGTTAAAATCGTGAATAAGTGTTGGGGAAAGTCGCATGATTGCATCAATATTCCCTCTCGACTCGAATAATGCTAAGTGTTTTTCCCGTTCGAAGTTTTTTGTGTACAACCATCCGTACTTGATTCCAGGACAGATACTGACTAGTTTCCCCAACAATCTGGCAAATTCTCTAATGCTACACTTTTCCACTGATGACATTTTTGCACTAGCTGTCTGGATTTTAAAACTTTTTCATGAGGAATACGAATAGACATATCTATCGAATTATAAATGAATCCAACATATTGAATTGACTGGGATGGGGCTAAAATGGATGTCTCGTAGTTTGGCAGGAAGCCTAATGAAAGTAAGAGGTTTAGGGTCTCCTTCAGATTAGAGAGACACTCTTCATGAGTGTTACCAAACAAAAGAATATCATCCCAGTAAATAACAGATAAAAACCCTTTTGCTCTAAGAGAAGTAATAACGGGTTTCATTAATTTTGTAAAAATGTAAGGTGCTATATTTAGCCCAAAGGGCATACACCTAAATTCATATAGCTGCCCACAAAATTCGAATCTTAAGCATTTCCTGTATTTTTTGTGCACTGGTATTAGAAAATACGCATCTTTTAAGTCCACCTTACACCTGAAACAGTTGCGGACTAAATTCTTTACGGTGCGACTATCTTCCATCTTAAGATGGCTGCAATGTCTATGTCTGTTGACATTTTTCAGATTCAGAATGAGACGATTAGAGCCATCGTTTTTTGGCCTGGGAAAATTTTTAGGAATGTACTGCTTATCACTCGCCGAAGCCATGGTAATGGCTCCTGTTAGTAGTAATTTAACTATGTAAACTTGGATAAGCTTGATCCTGAAGTGACCATGAGGTTACTGCAAAATTCTGTTGTTTAGGATAATGTCTAAATGGTAACTTTAAACCTTTAACCCAACTAAGGACTGATTTATCCTGACAAACCCTAAGCCAATTGGGGTAGAAATGTTTAGGCCTACCAGCGACACGCACCTCAGAGGTTGGATTCATTGCCAACTGCGATTCTTACGAATCGATTTTGCCGGCTTTGGTTTTATGGTCTTCCCGGACAGCATTAATCTGCTTGCATCATTGAGCAGTTTGATGTATTTTCGGTTGCCCCCCCCCCCTCTTCAGCCAACATTAAGCTAAAGAGTTGGCCCGTAGCGGCTAAACATGCGGCTGTTTGACCCTGTAGAGCCATCAACCGAGGGTCCCTTTGAGGGTGATATCGCCTTGACAACCATCGGTTTAAGTTATGGGGCCGCCATGTATTGAAAATTCTCGGGGAGAGGATACTTGTTGCAAAGTTCCTTTTTGTCCTCTTCAGACAACCCCGCGGCCACAGCTTTTTGCCAACGGGAAACTAAATCTTTGTGTAAATTCGGCCCATAAATGAATGTGTTGGTATCAGTTGTGACCAGAATTTCGACGACATCTTCTGAGAGCTCGACACCAGGAGGAGGGGCGTCTCCTTGCCCTGGAAGAAACAACATTTTTATTCCACCTGGATGGGTCAGTGTATCATCAACACTAATGTAACACGTTGTCCCAACTTGACCAGAAACTGTGAAGAGCGGGATAAACGGAAGGTATGCCCATTGATACCTTATCATCCAGCCAAAAACAAAGAAGGTACTCTCATCGATACCCGGCAAAATACGTAAGTACACTCATTGGTACCAGACGAAATAAATAGGTACCCTCATCGATACCTGCTTAGAGAATGGGTATACTTCCTTGATACCCTGAAGTACGAAAAAAAGGTTCGAATGTTACTCACCTGGATGTGTTAGTGTACCATCAACACTAATGTGACACGTTGTCCCAACTTGACCACAAACTGTGAAGAGCGGGATAAACGGAAGGTATGCTCATTGATACCTTATCATCCAGCCAAAAAACCAAAAAGGTACTCTCATCGATACCCGGCAAAATACGTAAGTACACTCATTGGTACCAGGCGACATAATTGGGTACACTCATTGGTACCAGACGAAATAAATAGGTACCCTCATCGATACCTGCTTAGAGAATGGGTATACTTCCTTGATACCCTGAAGTACGAAAAAAAGGTTCGAATGTTACTCACCTGGATGTGTTAGTGTACCATCAACACTAATGTGACACGTTGTCCCAACTTGACCAGAAACTGTGAAGAGCGGGATAAACGGAAGGTATGCTCATTGATACCTTATCATCCAGCCAAAAAACCAAAAAGGTACTCTCATCGATACCCGGCAAAATACGTAAGTACACTCATTGGTACCAGGCGACATAATTGGGTACACTCATTGGTACCAGACGAAATAATTAGGTACACTCATCGATACCTGCTTCTCACCAGCCGAAGGTAAACAAATCGGTGAAACCGTGCAATTTGAAGTGTGGCTCCCGGACCGATCCATGATACTCGAACCAGGGGGAGTCCTTGATCTAGATGACAGAGAGGACTCCGACGACTGAGACGATGAAGACAAAGACGACACTACTCTCCGATTTCGTTTCCGTACTGGGCTTCGGCTGCGGCGATATTCAATTTTCCGCAATCTCATAGGAATGTCTCGAAGACAATTCATTACATCACCCACATTTCCCGCACTTTCCGCGTGAGGCCGCGGTGCCTTCGCTTAATTGACTTCCCGGGCATGACACCCACAATTTGAAAAAATCCCGGCACCAAGGTACGCACCAACCGGAAACGAACCGCTCGATTCGACACACAAACAAAGTATGAGGGTTCGACGGAGTGGCGAAGGGACAGGACTGTATCCAGGGTGAGAAAATTTGCTTTGAACTGTGTGAGATTTGACTGCAAGCAGAGCTACTACACGTATACTTATTTATGAAGGCGAGGCGCAATATAATAGTAATTTAGCCCAAAGATCCGTTTAAAACCCCAAGACAAATATAAGACGAAATCGAGACAAAAGGAATTGTCAGTGTTTCTACGAAAAAAATAAGTAGAAGATTAAATGCATTAATTGCATCTTGATTGGAGCATCTGTGACTGGAAGAGTGTATATTTCAGTGACGAATCCAAGTTCAATATGTTTGGATCAGATGATGTTCATTACGTTAGATGTCCTAGTGGACAAAGATTGAACCCCAAGTACACTTTTCCCACTGTCAAACATGGAGGCGGGTCTGTTATGGTTTGAGGGTGCTTTTCGGAGTTTGGGATGGGACCTTTACATAGAATAGATGGTATTATGGATAAGTTTGTATACACAGACATACTAAAGCATATCATGTTACCCTCTCCCTGCTGACATTCGTCGGAAAATTTCTGAAAAGAGGGCTGCGATTAAGCAAGCAAAAAGGTCTTGTCATCCTGATGACATGCGTAGAGCGACGAATCTCGTCCATGAAGTGAGAAATGCACTCCATGAATTCCGCAATGAGCAGTGGAACGACTTTCTGGAGTGGATGCTTGAATCAAGTATTCCTCTCTGGAAAGTCGCAAAATCGGTCAGAAACGGAAGGCAAGAACAACTACCACATATTAATGGTCCTGGAGGCATAGTTTTCAGGACTGAGGATAAAGTGGAGGTTTTTGCTGACGTCATGGAAATGCAGTTTTCTCCCAATTATGATCTGGACAATGACCTTGACGAGGAATGACAAATTGTAAGATCTGTCTGGAGATACTTCAGAGCGAATGGCGATACCAACATCGGTGCTAGCATCGGAGACTCCTTTTCAGAAGATTCTTCTACGGAAGACTCTTCAGATGAATCTCAGCATAGCACATCAACGGAATCCTCTGAGATTCCGTTTTGCACACCAGCAGAGCTCCAAGGCCACAATAAGGACCTAAGGGTGCATAAAGCACCTGGAGAGGATCAAATCACCAACAAAGCACTGCAGTTGCTTTCACTCAAGGCTTTGACTTATCTGGTGTCAATAATCAATGCAATGCTCAGAACTCATTAATTTCCTAAGGCGTGGAAGGTCGCTGAAGTCATCATCTCCTTCTAAGCTCGCTGAAAAGGTGATTTATCGTCACCTTGAGAATTTCTCGTCAGATCACCATGTGATTCCTGACGTGCAATTCGGATTTCGGTCTGAGCATAGTACGGAACTACAGGCAGTTAGACTGGTGGAGCATGTAACCAGGGGGTTCACCCTGAACAAAAGTACTGGTATCTTGCTTTTAGATGTATCGAAGGCATTTGACAAGATGTGGCACATGGGCCTCTTGTATAAGCTCATCCAAAAGGGTTTTCCATTTTGGCTACTAAAACTGTTGAAATCTTTTCTAGAAGGAAGGAAGTTTCGGATCAAAATTAACAACGTGTTGTCAACAACACGGCCTGTAAGATCCGATGTTCCACATGGTTCGGTCTTAGGACCAATCCTTTATTCACTTTATATACATGACGTCCCTTGTCCCAGCAACTGTGAAGTCTATCTCTATGCTGATGACACTGCATTGCTAGCCCAGTCTTGTTCTGGCAACCTGGTTCAAGACAGGCTGCAGAGTGCGGTTGAGGAAGTATTGGAGTGGGCGGATCGGTGGTTGATCAAAATTAATACTTCGAAAACGCAAGCAATCTATTGTACTAAAAAACGTCGCGGTGCCCCCTCAGAGACATCAGTGAATGGAACTCGTATACCATGGGAGCAATCTGTCAGGTATCTTGGAGTCATCATTGACAAGGGGTTGACCTGGCAGAAACATACTGATACTTTGAAAACAAAATTCCAAATTACCTTTCGGCAGCTTTATCCTTTGTTGTGCAGAAATTCAAAATTAAGTTTGATCAACAAGATCCGGTTGTATAAAATGGTCATAAGACCCGCAATCACCTACCCATGCGCGGCTTGGTGTTTTCTTGCCAAGACGCACATGCAGAGACTGCAAGTTCTGCAAAACAGAACCCTACGCACAATTACTAACGCCGCTTGGTACGTGTCAAGTGAGACTATTCACAGAGATCTTGATATCCCATATCTAAGGGCTTACGTAAAACAACAGGCGCAGCGGCGTTATAATCAAGCGGAATCGCACAGCAACACTCTGTTGCGTGATTCTGTAGACTACACAGTCTACAAGTTTGCAAACATTCCAGGCCGCGCCTCGCAATGTGATCAAAATTAAATGTTAAATTCAGACCAGAAAAAATTATTTCAGTATACAAAACCGATCAAAATTATTTTTTGGAGTTACAAAATAATTCGAGTACTAGTCAAAGCAATAATGCTTAAGATATTTCAAATGATTTACTTCTTTTCTTTGCTCGATTTCTTCCTTCCTTTCTTTCCTTATTTCCCTTTTCTCCTTAAACATGTTTGGTATCTGGGTAGCCAGACCTGTCAGACTAACAGACTGACGAGACTTTTAACTAAGAGCAAAGGACTACCGGACCGCTCTGACTAATAATGACGAATAGTAGTACCATGTTACCCTATATAGAAGACAATATGCCCTTAAGATCAATCTTCCAGCAAGATAATGACACGAAGCACACTTCAAATCTCGCAAAGAAATTCTTTCTGGATGAAAAAATACCAGTTCTCAAATGGCCTTCACAGTCTCCCGATATAAACCCCATTGAAAATCTATGGGAATACTTAAATAAGCAAATACGAGATAAAAATTATTCAAACAAGGATCAACTTTTTCCGCTTTAGAGCGGAGTGGAGAGAGATTGTTGAATCTTATATCAAGAAACTTCTACAATCTATGCCGAGACGATGCCAGGCGGTGATTGATAATAATGGTTATGCTACAAAATATTAACACAAACATGATTGGTTTTAAATAATTCAATGAACTTTGCTTCTTTTTTCTATAATTGTTTTAATTTGTCTATATATTTTTGTCCTTCATAGTTCCAGTTTTTTTCAATTAATTTTTTATTGAAGGGAGTCTAATGAATTTATTTTTGTATAAGTGGCTACATTCTATATCTAGGACTGAAATTCATAAACTCATAAATACGAACATCAACTAAATACATAATTTTTGTCCTTTTTTGTCATTTGCATTCTACAGTTTCAACTTAAATTTATTGGTCCATGTACAGGCGATGCCTTCTATTGGACCTGTTTTGATTTTATATTTATTTACTCATATTGTTTGCTATCTTTGTACATTGAGTGAATAAATATTATTATTATAAGTGATAATACTCACTGCTATAATGAATTATGTTTACAGGTTGGTGTATTAATAAAACAAGTCAAAAAAGAAATACAGCACAATATTAATTTGTCTATATATTTTCATCCATTACTGTAGGTGTTTACCTTTTTTTCACTCAGTGTAGATATGAAAAAATCATAAAAACAATTTCTGTAGCTTATACATCAAGCTACAAAATCGCCTTAACAACTTTTTTCTATATTCACAGGACCATAAATCAAAAAATCAAAGTTTTTCATCGCAAGATCCGGAACTTTTCGTTACGCGAAAGAAGACTATTACAGTTACCTAAATCCAAATTTTCATCCATTATAGAATTTTTGGGAACAATTTGTGTTCCCTTAAGGCGCTATGTGTCAAATCTAGGATTTGCGGCGGTTAGAATTTTCCCATTTACTAAAAATGGGAATAAATAATCCAATTAGGATTTTTTTCCTAGCTTCATATGAAATACGCTCTATCATTTTGTTAGATAATGAATGTACATTCTGTGACGGACAGTTTGCAAACAGACACAGATTATTGTTAATGCACCCACGATCATAAATCTATGTTTACCTCGATTTTTACTAGGTGCAAAACATATCAGGTTGAACGGCTCCGCTCTCAATCCGTAGGCACAGTTTACAATACACGCTGGCGTTACGCTGCTTGCGTTGCTCCCAGACAAAGGCGGGATCATTTTTTGAGAGCAATGACTTTGTGAACCGTTGTAAACTGGGTGATTAATCTTTATTTAACCCATCTCAGCAAAATCAAACCTCATTAAAGTTCAACTTCTGCCTGTTTACAGTTTTCCTTGACTTTATGCGCATACGCAAAAAAAACCATGCCACTAAATTCCGTTGGCACAGGTCTACCGGTCTGTCTGTCAGTCTGTTGGCGTTATTCTGTCCCCCATAGTCTCGCGAACGGCTGCTACCCCAACTTTGGTATGATTTGAGCGACATAATTGTAAAGCAGGATGCCCACAGGTCGAAGCCCTCGTAAAAAATTGCGTCGAGTAGATTGACTCTATACTTCTCACGCTTCCGAAACGGCTGCCAGTACAATTTTCCATGTAGTGCAATTTTATTTCCACATAAACGCGTTAAAAAGTTGTAAGATTTCTCAAACTCATTAATGCACTAATTGGGCTTTCATTGAAAAAAAATCTCAGCTTGTAGTTACGAGCGTGACCTTACACGGTAGACTTATGTCTTCGGAGCTCTGGTCGCCAACAATGTTTGATAACTGGTTACGAGGGATGTCTTTTAAGTTTTGCATATGGAAATTAAACAACACGGATGGTAGTTTTAAATGACTTTATTGTTTTTCAAAGTATCTGCATGCGCTCGAACCAATTTTCGAAGCACTTATTCCACTCGTTTGCTGGCAGATCCAAAACGGCATTTTTGAATGCGTCAACTGCTTCATCTGGTGACTGGAACCTTTGACCACGCAGTCTGTTTTTAATTTTCGGGAAAATAAAGTAATCGTTAGGACTTAGATCGGGACCATAAGGAGGATGGTCCAATAATTCCACGATTTCTTCCGTTAAATACTGCCTTGTTTTTGTGGGCTGTGTGCGAGCTTGCATTGTCTTGGTGGAGGATGATTCTTCTTTCGGGGTCGATTTTTCGAAGTGGGGTGATGACTTTTGGCAAAAAAATGGTGGTATACCAATCCGCAGTAACAGTTCTTTGCTCATTAAGAGGAATTGTTGCAATATGACCCGCTTTTGACACAAATTTCGCGACCATCTTTTTCGAAACACTTCGAGAACGGATGACTTTTGTTTGCTTTTCTTCACCTTGGAACACCCAAACAGCCGACTGTCGTTTATTTTCTGGTTCATGACAGAAAATCCACGATTCATCACCACTAACAATGCTGTACACATTTTTTTACTTTCCGGAATTGAAACGGTCAAGCGTTTTTTGACACCAATTAACCCTGGCTGCTTTCTGCTCTTCAGTCAACAGGTGGGGTATCCAACGAGAAACTAACTTTCTTACTCCTAATTCTTGATGTAAAATTTTTTGAATTGAGGTCTTTGAGATCTTCAAGGACGCCTCAATCTCGCGATATGTCATCCGTCCACGTTTGAATTCTCCATACCAACGGGAAATTCTCGACTGATGTGGCGCTTCGTTGCCGAAAACAGACAGTAACTCAGCAAGGCATTCTTGTTGCGATAATTGTCTCTGAAAGTTGTAATAAATTATGGTGCGAAAATGTTCTCGGTCGAGTTCCAGTTTTCTAATGACTTGGTGACACTCAAAAATTCACTGTAGTGAGAACACTGCACGTATTGTTGTGAAACTTTGAATTTAAGTTTACTAAAGAGTGAGGTTAAGATTCAGTACTGACGTTCAATCCGAGCGGCCTACTATGTTTCTATATGCAAAACTTAAAAGACATCCCTCGTATAATCGGTCATGTGCCCCCTTGCCCCCTAATGGGCGCTAGCATCTTTCAGATCTCTTTTCGAGCAGAATAGGCTACTCGACTCATATGTCTCTCGATTTTAGTAAGGCATTTGACACCATAAGCAATGATCTACTTATAGCCAAGTGTACTTATCTTGAATTTGATAAACCGGCACTACGTTTCATAGCGTTACATCTTGAAGACAGACAGCAGCAACAGGTGGTTCTGAGAACAAGTATTTCAAACTTGCGGAATGTTCCTCCAGCTGTTCCACAAGGTGCAGTCCTAGGGCCCCTCTTGTTCTTCTTACACTACCGCTCAAATATTTTGGGACAGTAACTTTTTTTAAGAGAACTTAAAATAAATAAGGCTTATATGACATTGATTGATTATTACCATCTACCTGTATAGTACGACTACACAAGATAAAGATGTATAAGATTCAGTGAAACACCTCTTAAAAGGGAATAAATGTAAACATCTTTAGAGACGCCGATATTTTTATTAGTTCATTGTAGTCATAAATCGGCCGATTTCCTTTCGTTGCTTACTTTGTTTTGTACTATGTATTATGTTCCGCGTAATGTATACATAAGCATTCTGGGTATCAATGAAACAAAGTAAAAATTGTACGTAGTTTAGCATAAACTACTAGTCGATGTGCTAGGGTCAGATTTTTTCAAAATAATGGAAAATGGTAAAGACGGGTAACGTTTCTCTTGAAAAACGGGGTGCAGTATGTACCTTACGTGATGAGGGATTGCCAATTCGAGCGATTGCTGAAAAGCTGCATTTAGGACGGAACACTGTGACTCAAATTTTGAAGAAAAAGATAGAAAGAGGCAGTGTCGTAGATCGTCCAAGCTCTGGAAGACGCAGAGTTACAACTGTTCCTGAGGATAGGGTTATAGTAATAACAAATAAGCGAAATAGACATTTAACTTCGCCTGAACTCACACACAGCTTGAACAGGACGAGGGAAAACCGTGTGTCCGTGTCCACGGTAAAACGCCGCTTACAAAGGGCTAACCTTAGAGGATGTGTAGCAGCATGCAAACCACTCCTGCGACCTATACATAAACTCAACGGGTAAGCATGGCCTCGAAAACACAAGGATTGGACCACTGACTGTTGGGATCGAGTCCTTTGGTCGGATGAATCCAAATTCGAAATGTTCGGATCTCGACGACGACAGTTGGTACGCCGCCAACCCCATAAACGCATGGCTCCGCAATATTTGCAGGCCACTCTTAAACATGGAGGTGGGAGTGTAATCGTTTGGGGCTGTTTTGCTGGAAATCGGGCAGGAGATTTGGTTCGTATTGAGGGTATAATGCGAAAAGAGCAGAATTTGGAAATATTGGAAAATCACGCTGTTCCCTCAGGACAAAGGATTGTTAGGAATAATTTCGAATTTCAGCAAGACAACGACCCTGAGCATTCATCTCGACTATGCCGCAATTATTTGGAACAGCAGCAAGAACTTGGTGCAATGAAAATCACGACGTGGCCTTCCTAGTCCCTAGATTTCTCTCCTACTGAGTATTAGTGGGATGAATTGGACAGACAGGTGAAGCAACAAGAGCCTACTAGTGCAGGAAGCCCTTTTTGAAAATTTGATACGTCGGATGAGTCGTGTCTGTCATGCAGTTATTCGGGCTCGTGGTGGACATTTTGATGAATGATGAATTTAAAGTTAATTTTTATAGAAATAGGTTAGCAACTAACTGAGTTTCAGTGGAAAATACTTCCTGTCTTATTTTTTTTTTTGATTAAACACGATCTATTGTTTGATTTAGTTTAATTTCCCTCAAAAAATCTGCTGTCCCAACACTTTTGAGCGGTAGTGTATATACATTTGATTTGGTCGTCAAAATTAAAAAATCGTAACTTATTATGCCGATGATACTCAATTATTATTAAGCTTCAGACCTGATGATTTCAAAATGGCTGAGGCTAAAATAAATATTGATCTCGATCGTATTAATAACTATTCTGCTCATGAAGCTCAATCCTCAAAAATCAAATGTACTATTTTGCGAGAAAGAAAAACGGAAACATCTAGAAGCAAGTCTGAAGCGGGAAACAATCAGCACAGACAGCGCTAACGGCGTCATCAAAACATGCTATTTTAGGCAAAAACTATTATATACCAAAATGCACTTCCTCGGTTTTAAAACAAAAAAGCGATTATGTGAATCGTTAATTATTTCCAAAGTTTTCTATAGAATCATAACATATTATCCTTACTTAGATCAGATGTTTGCCTACAGACTTCAAAAAATTCAAAATTCTTGTTGCCGCTTAACTGATCAACAGCCAAAAAATATCCTAAATAAAATCAACAAAATATTACTATTTTTAATGTGCTAAAACCGGAATGAAACTTATTTTTTCAATATTAGTTCAAGTTTTAGAGATACGGTAATTATATGTGTTCCTGCTATGACAGTGTTAATATACTGTAATTCACAAGAATGCACGTGCTACATTTTTATATTCGGCAAGGAAAGATGTAATCGGCATGATTGTGTTACGTTATGCATACGTGTACATTATATTGTTTTATATTAGCCATTTTTTCCTCAGTTGGCTGACAGCGTTCATGCAAGATGTCTCGAAAGTGTGTAAACAATCCAGATCAGTTTTGTTACGTGTGTGGTGATGTGACTTTTGCGTCTCCACTAATAACAAAGGCATATCAGCTTTATTTCGGTTGTAAACTAGGTGATCAAGGCAAGCAGTGGGCACCCCACATCTGCTGTAATACATGTGCTTCAAGTCTGAGGAGCTGGTTAAATGGCAAAAAACGGTCTATGCGCTTTGCTGTCCCAATGGTTTGGAGAGAGCCTACAAATCATATTAATGATTGTTACTTTTGCATGGTACCTTGTATTGGACAAGCCACAGGTATGTCCAAGAAAAAAAAATCGGTTATTAACTACCCAAACATACCATCTGCGATGAGACCTGTGCCTCACAGTGACGAAAATCCTATTCCAAAACCCCCAGAATCCTACACTAGCGAATCAGAAAACGAATCAGATCATGGCGACCGAGTGATTCGTCAGGAAGAAGATATGCCATCAACGTCAAGAGATCCTGATTTTATACCGAGCACGTCATGCCACCAATCGCACAAAATAACACAGTCAGAATTAAATGATCTTGTAAGAGATTTAGAACTTCCAAAATGTAAGGCAGAGTTACTTGGATCAAGACTGCAGCAGTGGAACTTGTTAGAAGACGATGTTTCGGTATGTGTTTTTCGTAAACGCCACAAAGACTTAGAACCATTTTTCAATATGGAGAATAACTTGGTTTTCTGCAGTAACATTAACGGCTTACTGGCGGCTTTAAATATAAACTATAACCCAGAAGAATGGAGATTGTTTATAGACAGTTCAAGATTGAGTTTAAAGGCAGTGTTATTGCATATTGGAAATATTTTACCATCTCTTCCTGTAGGGTATGCAGTTCACATGAAAGAATCATATGACAATATGAAGTACCTATTGACATGCATAAAATACGATGAGCACCAATGGCATATTTGTGGCGATTTGAAAGTTGTTGCAATTTTACTTGGGCTGCAGCTAGGCTACACAAAGTTTTGCTGTTTTTTGTGTGAATGGGACAGTCGGGCAAAGGCACTTCATTACACCAGACAAAACTGGCCTGTTCGTCAATTCCTAGAGCCAGGTCAAAAAAATGTACAGCATATGCCATTAGTAGATTCGAAAAAAAATTTATTACCACCACTGCATATCAAGTTGGGCATAATGAAAAACTTTGTCAAGGCATTAGATAGAGATGGGTCAGCTTTTCAATACCTGCGTCAGAAATTTCCAAGACTAAGTGAGGCAAAGGTTAAAGAAAGTATTTTTGTTGGGCCACAGATTCGAAATATTTTGAAAGATACTCAGTTTGAAAACGCTTTAACAGGAATTGAAAAAACTGCTTGGAATGATTTCCGTCTGGTGGTCACTAATTTCTTGGGAAATAGCAAAGCTGACAACTATAAAACCCTTGTCAAAAATATGCTGTCATCGTATCAAAAGATGGGCTGTAATATGTCTCTTAAGATACATTTCCTACACTCACACCTGGACTTTTTTCCTGACAATTGCGGAGCCGTAAGTGATGAGCACGGCGAACGTTTTCATCAGGATATTTCAACAATGGAAAAAAGGTACCAGGGAAAGTGGAATTCTTCCATGCTTGCAGACTACTGTTGGACTCTTGGTAGAGATGCTCCAGAAACGATCCATAAAATAACAGCAAAAAGACAGCGCATATAGTGATTCTTATAAGTATATGAATCTTGTTACTTTTTTAATATATCCTTAAAAATAAAAAGCTTTTTTTCTAAACCGCAACTAATTTTTTTATTTCATTCTCATTTTTGGATTCAGCGCCCCAAAACTAACAAAGAAGTGCACTTTTCCCACAAGATACAATTAAAAAACTAAAATTTGTTGTCCAGTGTAATCTAAGGAAATATTATGTCTGGCCCATTCAAAGACTTAGGATAGTTCAAAATTAATTACTTGTTCAAATATATACTTTTATCATTTTTAATTTAAATTTAAGGTATATGAGCACATTATCCATATCAAGACATGTTTCAGCGTTCTTACTCATATAATGCCACCAAATATTATAATGTATAAGGATGGGCATATCACCATAAATTTAAGTCACTATTAGAACAAAATATTTTAAGTACTCCTTAAAACAGAAATTTGTTGAATATATTTTATGTATACTAGAAGCATTTAATATTTTATCAAGTATAAAGTAAAAGACACTATTATAGTTTATAGTATATACATAATTTGTTTTATATATTTCCAAATATTGGTTCAGTAGATTGGCGAATTGCTAGACTCCGCCATTTGCATCATACTTTTTAATGTTTTGCTGTGATGTTAATGATGCAATGAAGACATAATTATATTATCATTATATCTAATTTCACAGAATAAATTAGTATTTTTGATAGTATTTGTCTTAGGAAAACGAAGTATTTATGTCGATTTCAACTTTCAACCCAGATTCCTGCTCTACTGAGCTGAGAAAGATCAAGACTTCTTTGTGAATACAGGGCATCTGAAATATCCATAGACATAAAAAGAAAGAATAGGTAAATGCACTTACATCTTTCTACGATCTTTCTTTTCGGAAGTCATTCAAAACTAAGCTCATACGACATAACGTTTGAATAATTTTATCTACTTAGTGTATTTCTTCTTACACATGAGCAAGGGAATCATACGGTGATCATGTATGTTAGCTCCAAGTTAAACAAGACAATAAAATCTCCATATCAAAATTTAAAATATAGCGTAAGCAACAGTGCCGCATATATTTATTTCCCTGTGCACCCTAATCCACAGCTTTCCTAGGATATTTATCGATGTATTTATACATTCTTGGGCGATACAATAACGATAATTACTATATGTTTCATATAAACTAGTTAAAGTCGTGTTTATATGTTTATAAGTTTGAGAAGTTATGCTGCTGTCAGATGCTGTTTACAAATGGTATGACATCAGAGCACATTAACATGCGCCATACATGGCGGACAACGTTTTCGCTTGTCTCAGAAAAATACATTTTTAGAGTTAAAGTTTTACAGTTTTCAAGGTCTGAAAAAATATACATTAATTCTCTTGATCCAATATAACGAATATTAACAATTTAAGACCTACTTAAGAAAAGTGTCAACTAGCGTATTCGTTAATCAATGCATGTTATCGTTACCATCCCACACGCCAAACGAGCTTCTAGTCCTGACATGAAACCTACCATCGCATTGATGAGAGCATTTTAAATTTCGTCCGAATCACCCCCATTTTCGAATTCCGAGCTTATTTTGGTCATAACTTCGTTTTTTCGATATTATGTAGCTAAAACTTCAGGCTAAGCTATCACATGCTCAATTAAATCAGGTAATTAACCCTATATTTTAAAATAAAAAAACATGGTACAAATGACAAGTGATTATAGTCCAACAACTTTGAGGGGTTTTAAAAATAGAAAAACATGTTTGTCCATTCATTAGAATCTTAAAAACATTTATTTTTGGTTCAAATAGAAAAGAATTTGAAATTCGAAAAACCGCCTTTCCATACAATAAAAAATCGGATCATATATACATGCGAGTGACTTAGACTTATATATGATGATCTGTATAGGTACAATAATTTCGTGCTAAAAGCAGGTGTAAATATAGCCACATATAACCTCAAAATCGTAGCATTTCAACTAACTTGCTGAGAAATTCTTTAACTTTCAACACGACACGTGTACTTCAAACGAGGTGTAAATCCAAATAAGAGTCAGTCCTTAGCTTGATGTAATACAAAACAAACAATAGTTCCGCTTTTTTTTTCATCAGCAAGGTGATTTTTAAAGCACATCAATATTTAAAATATGATAGAGTATAGTATAACAATGCTGCTTTAGTTTCGAAAATCCGCGTAATGGCCGCAAAGTAAGTTAGTACTAAAT